AATATTCTTTTTATTTTCTTTCTTTTCTTTCCTTCTTTTCTTACCCCCCCCCCCCCCCACTTTCCTCACCGATGCTACGTCACTGTGATATTTGATTCCGATGCCAATAACATATTCTATGATATATTCCTAGGTCTTTCAAATGGATGCTGTTAGACAATTTTGCATGATTTGCGTTCCTATGAAAGTACACAAATATTGATGACGTAGAAAAACTTGCGCGCCATCTAGCATTAATTCATGTAATGTCTGTTTTTTTTACACGCCAGCTAGCGTCAATTCGGTGAATGATTGGTAGTTTTGCATCGGTGATTGTTGATTTTGCAAACGAGTCTGTTGATTTTGTTTGAGGTGGTTTGTTTTGTATTTTAGTATGTTTTGAGAATTAATTGTTAGTTTTGCATGAACGTCTTTTTTACCCTTTCCACCGCCCATAGGTACCCATCTCTTATCCACAACTCCTCTCAAAACACTGAAAGAAATTTGATGAGACTCTCAGATAATCTTCATTACAAAATGCCATTGTGTACTTCTTATGTAACTTTTTGATCCGACACATATATCTGGTTTCCCATAGAAAAACACGGACACGGCTATCATATTCATATAGAAGGCGGGATGTCTCATTACGTTAGCTCATTGCTTACAGTACCTCTAGTTTCCTTTTTAACATAGATGGACAAACACCACCAAATGTTTTCCCATAGACTTCCATACAAACTTTAGCCCCTCTCATTGATACATATATTGAATTTCGGGCAAATGACCTTTTTGTCGTGAAAGTTCGAAATATTGGAAAACAAAAAATGCCAGAAAAAATATACCGTCACGCGGCACTTTTACTTTCAATTTCCATTTATTTACAACTAGGTGCGTTTGACACCAAATGAAAATCTCTAACCAAAGTGCACCCCTCCCTTCAAATTTTTACCTGTAACTTCTATTTACCTCAAAGAAACCCAAGTCTGGATATGAGATTTTTATCAACTTTATTTCACTTGTCAAATACATAACAAGTCTTTTCTCTTATTGACCAATCACAAGCCAGCTAGCATTTTGTCCTCCGCACAACTTTGGGTGTCCAAAATGTCTGCGCCCATGTATTTGTTTATGTAGGGGTTTTTCCTATAGAGTAAAAGAAACATTTATAAAAAGTGGTCAATTTAGTAAATTTAGAACACATATCCACTGCTTATCTCACCTCTTGAATATTGGAACTGACAGTCTTAGCTTAAGTACACCATTAGCTGTTACATTTCACACCGCAGTCCATCAGACCCACATCTGTGAAACAGAAAAGATGTCTATAAATTGAAGCAATTTTCTATTTTTCTTTCAAACTTTTAAAATAAAATGATTAATCTAGCATATGTTTTGCTTGTTTTTCTTATTATCTCTGATAATTTCTCAAGGTAGATCATGGTAATCATTCGGGGTAGCAGGTACCCGTTATTAATGAAAAATGAAGAAAATCAGCGGGTTTTTGTAAGAAAAACCTGGGTTATGGAAAGAGTAAAAACTAATGTAGATAAAATAATCAATGGAAAGAAAGAGAATTATATCTAGTTCAAATGTACATAAGATTAAAAAGAATTTTATCAGCAATGGGTTGCTGGCATCAGAGAATCAAATACATCCCCACTGAAAATTTTGCAATTTTGAAGGGGGGGGGTGACCTACATTTCAGCCAATTTTCATGAACATTTCATGTAATTGATGTTAAATATGTATATTCTCATAAAAGGCAAATATAATTATTTGCATATCATTTCTTATTATTGACATAATTAATAAATTGATAAAATGCCAAGGGCAGATAAATCATACTGTCTGACTGAATACAGTGCTCAATTGTAAGCAAAATGCTTAAATAACTGTAGTTCTGAGGAAATTTATTTTCAAATAATCTATAAAAAGTTCTAAATAACTTAGATATTAAGAGATTAACTAGATTTTCTAAGAAAACCATACCTTGGAACTCTTAATGAAGGCAAAGGGATCATCCTGAGAGTGTCCATGTGTTGTTCATTGTAAGAGGGTAGGGTTCATGAATCTCTTCCTTCTTGAGAATGCATTGCTGAAATACATTTTATTTTATTAAAACATACTGGTAAATGCATCTAATAGCTTATATCATAATTTTTTATTATTTACACTTTCTTTTAAATTTCTTGTAAGCATTTGTGATGAAAACCTTTAAAATAATCATTTTTAAATAGAATTTACTCAGATAATTATTTTAAAAAATATTAAAGAAATTGAAAAAAATAACTGCAGATAAGCATGACTTTTGTTATTCAAATAAACAAAATTTAAACAAAATTCCTTCATTTTTCAGCATCATTAGAACACAAAATTACCCCCCCCCCTTTTCAGCTGAATATCAAGATTGGATATGGCAAGGAGGAGGGATATTCAGACACCTTTTTTATGATTTTTTCAGTTATAATTTTGCATATTTATTGCATTTTCAATGTATTTTCTGCAAAAATATATTGTACAGTAATTTAAATTAAATTTTCTACTAGTAATCTCTAACTTTCACCAAAAGTATAACTTTTATTTCAAGCCAGCACTGATTACATGACTGAAACTGGCTTTGCTGCTGGATTATGCCCCTTATGTAAAAACAAAGTAACCTAATTAGTTAATAGCAGTCAAATTTTGTTATAAATTATTCAATCAACTCTGATTAACACAAATTTGAAAGAGGATTAATCAATCTGTTCCAATGTCTACACTCATAAAATACATGGATTTAAATAAATTTCTCAAACTGTGAGGGGGATATTCATATGTTTTGTGTATTGATGATGCCCATCAATATTGATATTGTATTATTTACAATATTCACAGTAAATTTCGGTATAAATATTTATTAAAAATTATTTAAATGTACATTTGTTGAAAATATGAGAGCTAGGGCAAAAATTTAAGCATTTTTTCACTATGTGCAGTCCCCATTGTGAGCCTCAATTTACCCAAACCCTCTAATTTTTGAACAATTAGTCAAAACATAGACCTAAAGCGAAGGGATCGCCGACTCCAATGACGTCACAATAGATATCACTATACGATCTCCTTCCGATTGCAGCGCCCTCACCGGGATGTATAGAAAACATCCGGCAGTACAAAGATTACGTTATTTACATCTACATTGTCGAGATATTTTAGCATGGAATGAATTAAACTTTTGCCGAATGTACCAAATTCTTTTTATTAATACACTAAAGAGTTCTTTGAGCAGCTTTTGAGGAATTTATCTTGTTTTTAATGTGTAAAAAAAAAAACTATACAGTTTGAGTATTTAACATGACAGATGATGACCATGATCACAGAGAAGCTGTCAAAATGCATGCGAGGTTGCTCAAGATGCTTCTCGATGAAAAAAAAACTTCAGATATAAGAAACAGAGAGGCCTATTGATACGTTAATTTTTTAAAGAGCAAACATCTTATGCTTAATAGCAGTGTTTGACAACGCTGATATCGCAATAGGCACCTATGCATGACTATGGTACAGTAACACAAGTAATGACGGAGTACTAATAGGAATATTCTTTGGCAAGTCTATAGCCACCCCATTTTATTTATTATAATGTAGGCAAGAAGTTCGATCCTACCCCCACCCCCGACAGGATTTTCGAGTTTGTACGAAATGGACACATATTTTTTTTTTTAGCTTGTCAAACTTTTTTAGGGTTTGATATTTACCATAAGGCTAAAAGGGGTAAAGTTGTTCCCATTTAAATATAATTCTTTTAATATAAAAAAGATCATTTTCCCTAAAGTCCTACCTAACAAGGTATAGGGAGTATAATTTCATAAAAGGATAAGATTTACAAGTGCCTGTGTGTTTTGAGCTACAGTAAGTTATTAAAACTTCTATTTAAGCAGTTGATTCAAGATCAAACAGTTTGATCATAGTGGCAGTAGATCTTGCATATATAAAATATAATTACTTACTAGTGTTTGTTCTTCAAAGCTGCTGATCAATAAGATTGAACATGATGTGCAGCGATTATGATTTTGCTTTTTGCAGTTGTGATTGATACATTGAAAATAAATATTTTAAAAAGACATTAAATATGCCATACATGTACACTGTACATCTAAAACAGTGCTCACCAATATAAGCCCACCATAGAAAAGGAAAAGTCGAAAATTAAATATAACAATGATTTTAATAATATTTCATTACAGTCACATTAAATTATTTAATACTTATATTGATGCAGTTTGTCTTTGAGTTATGATATACCAAAGTTAATTATAATCACATTCTGGATATACACAGTATAGTTGAAAAAATTGGAGTTTTAAACATGATAATTAAATCATTGAAATCCAGTTATGTGCAACTCAGCCGTGCATACATGGGATACACCACTTGGCACTTTTGTTGATTTAATCCTGTGCAGTTTTGTGACCAATCTTTGTTCTTTCACATTTAACTCATCATACCAGGTGGTACATGGCATGACCATGTTCTAAAATATTTTCCACAGAGTTTGGTGTGCAAGGCAGACCCCTATTCTCATTTGAGAAACGGACAGGCTATCAACAAAACCTGTGGGGAAAAATGAAAAAAAAAATCTCTTAGAAAATCTTTTCAACACTCATCTGATAATGTTGTAATCCTGAATTAACACGATTACATAAATTACATAAATCCAACTTTTTAAAATTACATAATTATGTAGATCATTCACGGGAACATCTAGTCTCAATTTATTAAGTTGTTGATCTAAAACCTGTAAACGGCACAGGTGCTTGAGGACAGGACCCCCTCCCCCAATAGGGCCTGTTAGACTTTTTCACAAAACTATAGACCCCAGGCCTGTTAGACTTTTTCACATAAATTATATATCCATGGATGACACATTTGTGATATAATCTATCCTATCAATTCAGAAAATTTGATTAAACTAACATTCTATAAAATTTTTACCCCACTCTCGTTGATTTTTATATAGAGTGTAGGGTAGATTCTAAAGAACGTTTGCTTTAGGAAATTTTTCTAATTTTTGGTATAGATTTTATTACTAATAAGTCAATGAAAGATTATTTATGAGAAAAAAGCCCAGGGGTCTATATCGAAAAAGGGGGGAGGGGGTCCCGTCCTCAAGCACTTATGGTAAACGGCACTTCACAATGTATTTATCATTTATATTAATTTAGCGAAGATCTGGAATTGGTCGTTGTTCAAATATTGGTAGATAAATTGTGTCCTTATTTTGTAAAATAATTAAGAAGATAAACATGTACTACCGTAAAATATAGTCGACAGCATTCAAGACATGTCACGTCGTAGTCAGCTGATGTCTGCAGTTAAAACGTTTCCATCGACTCCATAGCGTAAAGTTATAACTTCCGAAGTAGTAAATCGAGATCATTTCGTCGAAGAAAGCTTAAATAAGTGATTGATTTTTCTAATTTGTTGTTATTTCCTCAAAGAATGCAGAAATCCGAGATGCGACAACATTGATTTCATTACAGGAAGTCTGTTTCTATACATCCCGGTGAGGGCGCTGCAATCACAAGAAGATAGTGATTGTGACGTCATAAGTCGGCAGTCCCTTCGATTTAGGTCTATGGTCAAAACTAACTAAAATATAATCTCAATGCCAAAAAAATAGGAACTGATTGATTTTTTGGCTTTAATCAATCTTTATCCATGAAATCATACCTATTCTATAGAGTAAAAGAAGCATTTATAAAAGGTGGTCAATTTAGTAAATTTAGAACACATATCCACTGCTTATCTCACCTCTTGAATATTGGGACTGACAGTCTTAGCTTAAGTACACCATTAGCTGTTACATTTCACACCCCAGTCCATCAGACCCACATCTGTGAAACAGAAAAGATGTCTATAAATTGAAGCATTTTTCTTTCAAACTTCTAAAATAAAATGATTAATGTAGCATATGTTTTGCTTGTTTTTCTTATTATCTCTGATAATTTCTCAAGGTAGATCATGTTGATCATTCAGGGTAGCAGGTACCCGTTATTAATGAAAAATGAAGAAAATCAGCGGGTTTTTGTAAGAAAAACCTGGGTTATGGAAAGAGTAAAACCTAATGTAGATAAAATAATCAATGGAAAGAAAGAGAATTATATCTAGTTCAAATGTACATAAGATTAAAGAGAATTTTATCAGCAATGGGTTGCTGGCATCAGAGAATCAAATACATCCCCACTGAAAATTTTGCAATTTTGAAGGGGGGGGGGGGGTGACCTACATTTTAGCCAATTTGCATGAACATTTCATGTAATTGATGTTAAATATGTATATTCTCATAAAAGGCAAATATAATTATTTGCATATCATTTCTTATTATTGACATAATTAATAAATTGATAAAATGCCAAGGGCAGATAAATCATACTGTCTGACTGAATACAGTGCTCAATTGTAAGCAAAGTGCTTAAATAACTGTAGTTCTGAGGAAATTTATTTTCAAATAATCTATAAAAAGTTCTAAATAACTTAGATATTAAGAGATTAACTAGATTTTCTAAGAAAACCATACCTTGGAACTCTTAATGAAAGCAAAGGGATCATCCTGAGAGTGTCCATGTGTTGTTCATTGTAAGAGGGTAGGGTTCATTAATCTCCTCCTTCTTGAGAATGCATTGCTGAAATACATTTTATTTTATTAAAACATACTCGTAAATGCATCTAGTAGCTTATATCATAATTTTTTATTATTTACACTTTCTTTTAAATTTCTTGTAAGCATTTGTGATGAAAACCTTTAAAATAATCATTTTTAAATAGAATTTACTCAGATAATTATTTTAAAAAATATCAAAGAAATTGAAAAAAAAAATAACTGCAGATAAGCATGACTTTTGTTATTCAAATAAACAAAATTTAAACAAAATTCCTTCATTTTTCAGCATCATTAGAACACAAAATTACCCCCCCCCCCCCCTTTTTCAGCTGAATATCAAGATTGGATATGGCAAGGAGGAGGGATATTCAGACACCTTTTTTATGATTTTTTCAGTTATAATTTTGCATATTTATTGCATTTTCAATGTATTTTCTGCAAAAATATATTGTACAGTAATTTAAATTAAATTTTCTACTAGTAATCTCTAACTTTCACCAAAAGTATAACTTTTATTTCAAGCCAGCACTGATTACATGACTGAATCTGACTTTGCTGCTGGATTATGCCCCTTATGTAAAAACAAAGTAACCTAATTAGTTAACAGCAGTCAAATTTTGTTATAAATTATTCAATCAACTCTGATTAACACAAATTTGAAAGAGGATTATTCAATCTGTTCCAATGTCTACACTCATAAAATACATGGATTTAAATGAATTTCTCAAACTGCGAGGGGGATATTCATATGTTTTGTGTATTGATGATGCCCATCAATATTGATATTGTATTATTTACAATATTCACAGTAAATTTCGGTATAAATATTTATTAAAAATTATTTAAATGTACATTTATTGAAAATATGAGAGCTAGGGCAAAAATTTAAGCATTTTTTCACTATGTGCAGTCCCCATTGTGAGCCTCAATTTACCCAAACCCTCTATTTTTTTAAGAAATAGTAAAAACTAATTAAAATATGATCTCAATGCCAAAAAAATAGGAACTGATTGATTTTTTGGCTGTAATCAATGTTTTTCCATGAAATACATACCTATTCTATAGAGTAAAAGAAACATTTATAAAAAGTGGTCAATTTAGTAAATTTAGAACACATATCCACTGCTTATCTCACCTCTTGAATATTGGGACTGACAGTCTTAGCTTAAGTACACCATTAGCTGTTACATTTCACACCCCAGTCCATCAGACCCACATCTGTGAAACAGAAAAGATGTCTACAAATTGAAGAATTTTTCTATTTTTCTTTCAAACTTCTAAAATAAAATGATTAATATAGCATATGTTTTGCTTGTTTTTCTTATTATCTCTGATAATTTCTCAAGGTAGATCATGTTAATCATTCAGGGTAGCAGGTACCCGTTATCAATGAAAAATGAAGAAAATCAGCGGGTTTTTGTAAGAAAAACCTGGGTTATGGAAAGAGTAAAAACTAATGTAGATGAAATAATCAATGGAAAGAAAGAAAATTATATCTAGTTCAAATGTACATAAGATTAAAAAGAATTTTATCAGCAATGGGTTGCTGGCATCAGAGAATCAAATACATCCCCACTGAAAATTTTGCAATTTTGAAGGGGGGGGGGGGGGTGACCTACATTTTAGCCAATTTTCATGAACATTTCATGTAATTGATGTTAAATATGTATATTCTCATAAAAGGCAAATATAATTATTTGCATATCATTTCTTATTATTGACATAATTAATAAATTGATAAAATGCCAAGGGCAGATAAATCATACTGTCTGACTGAATACAGTGCTCAATTGTAAGCAAAGTGCTTAAATAACTGTAGTTCTGAGGAAATTTATTTTCAAATAATCTATAAAAAGTTCTAAATAACTTAGATGTTAAGAGATTAACTAGATTTTCTAAGAAAACCATACCTTGGAACTCTTAATGAAAGCAAAGGGATCATCCTGAGAGTGTCCATGTGTTGTTCATTGTAAGAGGGTAAGGTTCATTAATCTCTTCCTTCTTGAGAATGCATTGCTGAAATACATTTTATTTCATTAAAACACACTGGTAAATGCATCTAGTAGCTTATATCATAATTTTTTATTATTTACACTTTCTTTTAAATTTCTTGTAAGCATTTGTGATGAAAACCTTTAAAATAATCATTTTTAAATAGAATTTACTCAGATAATTATTTTAAAAAATATCAAAGAAATTGAAAAAAAAAATAACTGCAGATAAGCATGACTTTTGTTATTCAAATAAACAAAATTTAAACAAATTTCCTTCATTTTTCAGCATCATTAGAGCACAAAATTACCCCCCCCCCCCCCTTTCAGCTGAATATCAAGATTGGATATGTCAAGGAGGAGGGATATTCAGACACCTTTTTTATGATTTTTTCAGTTATAATTTTGCATATTTATTCCATTTTCAATGTATTTTCTGCAAAAATATATTGTACAGTAATTTAAATTAACTTTTCTACTAGTAATCTCTAACTTTCACCAAAAGTATAACTTTTATTTCAAGCCAGCACTGATTACATGACTGAATCTGACTTTGCTGCTGGATTATGCCCCTTATGTAAAAACAAAGTAACCTAATTAGTTAACAGCAGTCAAATTTTGTTATAAATTATTCAATCAACTCTGATTAACACAAACTTGAAAGAGGATTATTCAATCTGTTCCAATGTCTACACTCATAAAATACATGGATTTAAATGAATTTCTCAAACTGCGAGGGGGATATTCATATGTTTTGTGTATTGATGATGCCCATCAATATTGATATTGTATTATTTACAATATTCACAGTAAATTTCAGTATAAATATTTATTAAAAATTATTTAAATGTACATTTATTGAAAATATGAGAGCTAGGGCAAAAATTTAAGCATTTTTTCACTATGTGCAGTCCCCATTGTGAGCCTCAATTTACCCAAACCCTCTAATTTTTAAACAATTAGTCAAAACTAACTAAGATATAATCTCAATGCCAAAAAAATAGGAACTGATTGATTTTTTGGCTTTAATCAATTTTTATCCATGAAGTCATACCTATTCTATAGGACAAACACCACCAAATGTTTTCCCATAGACTTCCATACAAACTTTAGCCCCTCTCATTGATACATATATTGAATTTTGGGCAAATGACCTTTTTGTCGTGAAAGTTCGAAATATTGGAAAACAAAAAATGCCAGAAAAAATATACCGTCACGCGGCACTTTTACTTTCAATTTCCATTTGTTTACAACTAGGTGCGTTTGACACCAAATGAAAATCTCTAACGAAAGTGCATCCCTCCCTTCAAATTTTTACCTGTAACTCCTATATACCTCAAAGAAACCCAAGTCTGGATATGAGATTTTTATCAACTTTATTTCACTTGTCAAATACATAACAAGTCTTTTCTCTTATTGACCAATCACGCGCCAGCTAGCATTTTCTCCTCCGCACAACTTTGGGTGTCCAAAATGTCTGCGCCCATGTATTTGTTTATGTAGGGGTTTTTCCAGATACCTGCCATGTTTCTTATGGAAAATGTTTCCAGGCAATGATGAATTAGTAAACAAAGTCACTGTTGTATAAAAGAATAAGACAATCAATTTAGTTGTTCTGATGAAATAATATATTAACAATACTAAAATCTATAACAAACTGTATCCTAACCTGGCTTCGGGGAGATAAAAAATGAAATGGGGACACTTAAATGATATTTGATAAATTTCTAATGGTGGAAAAAATAAGACCGAGTTTAAAAGTGAGCTAGTCTCAGTTCTGTGTCCCTGGAGCCGTATTTTTTTCCATTATTGTCCCCCGCTTTTTCTATTACATATTTTCGTGCATGTCACTCTAGCTGCATAAAAGCACCCTACAATTTGACCTCTTTATTGTGCTGTAGTTTTAGAGCTTACTTAAAACTGAAATGTATGCTATAAACTTTTACGTACCCGCCACAAATATTACTCTGGCCCGAGATTAAGAGCATCTACAAAGTCTGTGACATTAAAATCACTGTAAATATTGTTTTCATTTCTGCATAATTCATCTCCATAACATGGCAAAGATTTTAAGCATTTCTAGACAAATTGATATTAAGATTTCAATGCATTTTTTGGGGTATTTTTTGTAATTTTTGTATATACCAATGTATATATATTCTGAAAGCAGGTATTGTGTTGTTTCTGAAAATGATTTTAAAAATTTCATTTCAGTTGCCATGGCAACGAAATACACCATAATCATGCTGGAATTTCCATTTATTAAATAATGAGTTTCATTCTAGTTTTTTGCTAAGTTAAATATATTTTTAAAAATATTTCATTGTTTTGTTGAAATTATGAACAAAGTGTACATTTTTTACAAACCAATTTTAAGTATTTTGGGGAGTTGGGTAGGGTTGGGATGTAAACACCAGAATTTAGCATTTTTACATATAACGTGTTACCCCCGCATTGATTTCGATAATGGCAAAATCGCTCAAATAGTGCGCAAAGTTTTACTCAAGCTAGCAAAAAACTGGTACAACCAATAAAAATATTTTTTGTATATTATTTTACCGTATTTATTTTCTCTTTCCAACGGTGCAAGATTTATTCTGATATTTCCAGTATTAACGAAGTTATGAATGTTTCTTTCACAATATACTTGTTATTCAAGTCAGATGCGTAGAAATGCGTATATGCCATGTAAAGGGTTAAAATCACTGTAAATATTGTTTTCATTTCTGCATAATTCATTTCCATAACATGTATAACTACATTTAATCATTGTGAATGAACAAATTTTAAGTCAATCTGGTAAATATAATTACATAAAATGTACCTGTTACATGCATGATCATTTTTCCTTGAAATGCTCTCATTTTAATTTCATTCATAATTGTGTAAATTTAAAAATTTTGCATTTTCCCCAAGGGATGTAGAATACTAATGAAGTTAGTAAAACAGCGTTATCCATCTACTAGTATTCACTTTTATTTTTAATATGAATAACTTTGTGTTTAAGAAATAAAGTCCGCGTTTTCGTGAATGTTTCAGAATAACCTCTGAGGTCGAGAAATGTTGTTTGAAAGATAAGAGCCGAGGGTTTAGCCGTAGCTTTAATGTTTCAAACAACATTTCGAGACCGAGGAGGTTATTCTGCTTAATTCACGACAACAAGGAGGAC